TACGAGAGAATGATGACGTTATTACGCGATAATGATGTCGCTATTACAAGATAATGATGTCGTTATTACGAGACAATGATGTCGTTATTACGAGATAATGATGGCGTTTTTACGAGAGAATGATGTCGTTTTTACGAAATAATGATGGCGTTATAACGAGATAAAGATGTCGTTATTACGAGAGAATTATGTCGTTATAACGAGAGAATGATGGCGTTATAACGAGAGAATGATGTGGTTATTACGAGAGAATGATGGAGTTATTACGAGAGAATGATGGCGTTATAACGAGAGAATGATGGCGCTATTACGACATAATGATGTCGTTATTACGAGAGAATGATGTCGTTATAACGAGATAATGATGGCGTTATTACGAGAGAATGATGGCGTTATTACGAGAGAATGATGACGTTATTACGCGATAATGATGTCGCTATTACGAGATAATGATGTCGTTATTACGAGAGAATGATGTCGTTTTTACGAAATAATGATGGCGTTATAACGAGATAATGATGTCGTTATTACGAGAGAATTATGTCGTTATAACGAGAGAATGATGGCGTTATAACGAGAGAATGATGGCGCTATTACGAGAGAATGATGGCGTTATAACGAGATAATGATGGCGTTATTACGAGATAATGATGTCGTTATAACGAGAGAATGATGGCGTTATTACGAGATAATGATGTCGGTATTACGAGATAATGATGTCGTTATTACGAGATAATGATGTCGTTATTACGAGATAATGATGTCGATATTACGAGATAATGATGTCGTTATTACGAGATGATGATGTCATTATTACGAGATAATGATGTCGTTATTACGAGATAATGATGTCGTTATTACGAGATAATGATTTCGTTATTACGAGAGAATGATGTCGTTATTACTGGATAAAGATGGCGTTATTACGAGAGAATGATGTCGTTATTACGAGATAATGATGGCGTTATTACGAGATAATGATGTCGGTATTACGAGATAATGATGTCGTTTTTACGAGATAATGATTTCGTTATTACGAGAGAATGATCGAGAGAATGATGTCGTTATTACGAGAGAATGATGTCGTTATTACTGGATAATGATGTAGAAATTACAAGATGACTATGTCGTTATTACGAAAACGTTATGTCGTAGATACAATGAATAAGTCAAAATCACAAGATAACTTCGCTGTTCTTACCAGAAACTTAGTAGTAATTACAAGGTTTAAATACTTCGCGTGGCAATAATGGCTTCCATACATTTGTAATTCTAACATGGAAGCAGGTGTATTGGTAAGATCGAAAAAAAATAATTAATATCCCGATGTGTACAAAACAAACGTATTGTATTTTGGATGGTAGCCAATGGTGGTTGGACTGTAGTTATACACAGGTGTAACATAATATAGCTGTAGACAATTGGTATTGTAGCTTACTTAGGTTGACTGTAGCCAAAAGAGAATATATAACATATACACTGTACAGGTTGCCTTGAAGTTATTGGATTTGGATATTTGAATAACTTATGGATAGAATAATGAAAACACTTAATGCATTATTTACTAACTTTAGTTCTCCTTCTTTGAATGTTTCTATTGTATAGAACTAAAGAAAACAGCTATTACATCAACAATTTTATGCGTTTTCTTATTTATACTTATAAAAAACAATTTTATATATTGGTGTGAAGAATTCAACTCATTTATTCAATTTTGTTTTCAATATGGGTTTACTTTTTTAAAAAAATCGAACAATCAGGCTATCAAATATTACAATAATATTATATATTAACGTAAGAAAATTAACCATATTATGCTAAAACTGTTCATCTTATTTACATTTCTAACAATGCATCGATACACCTCAGGTAAACGACAATAGAAAACGGCGATATTATGTTCAGCAATCACTAGAAAAAACGATCAAACGAGGTATCTATTTTAAGATTAAGTGACTTGATGACGAAAGCCAAGCAAAGGTAACATTTACTGAACCATATCGACATTTCGTCTATTAAACTTTTGTTTGTTAGTGTTGTACGTCCTACTTACAGTCATTTAAGGACGTGCCAGGTTTTGGTGGTGGAGGAGAGCCGGAGTACCCGGAGAAAAAACAACCTACCTACGGCTAGTACCTGGGGACTGCCCCACAGAGGTCTCGAACCCGCGTCCCAGTGGTGGAGGGTAACTGGTAGCAGAATGTCAGACGCCTTAACCACTCGGCCAAGGTGGCCTTGTCTATTAAATACTCATCAATGTCATGAAATGTCAAAGGAAAGAAACTCCATGTCTGCAGAGTTCAGAAACAGAATTATTTTATGTAGGAAAACAAAAAAGGGAAAGATGCCTTTTAAGCCGATTATACATTGCACATTTAAACAGTTTGGCTTCACTAGGTAATTTGTAGTTAAATCTGTATTTCATGTGATAATTAATACAATGGCAACGCAAACGTATTAGAACGCATTAAGATGTCGTTTACAAATAGAAAGGATTTGGAGAGTTTTCCTCTGCTAGTCAATCAGCGAAGCTCAACAACAGTAGCACTCATTTCTTGCCTGTCATGAAATACACACAAATCGTAACCATTATTTCACTTTTGATCAGCAATTTATCTTATATCATTCGTATGCAGTCTAAAGACATGGAAACAAGATCCATTAGTTTGGAGTAAATCAAATGATGTGATACAAAACGGGTTACTTGACATAATGAGTCATGATTTCCTGAGTATATATGATATATTTAGCCCTCATTATATGATAACATATCATCTTTTATCCCTTCATCCACTCAATTACCTCTCAAACACGAGGCATACTAGGGTTGAACAAGATATACATGTAGTTATATCATCTGTTTAACACTCGGACCTAGCTCTATCTTTGACTGCATTTGTTAGATATCCCATCATGTCCTATTTTATGGGCTCATTGGTCGAATGGTTCACACTCCGGCCTTCCATGCAGGCGGTCGGGGTTCGATTCCCGAAGTCGTCGTAAGCATGGAGTATTCAGAGAAAGTGCTTTTCTCCTCCCAACACAACTCAGGTGGAGTATCAAATGGTCTGGGGTGGATACTGCTGTATCTGTGCTGTAGCATTCTAGTGAGGTGACACTATGATACCGTTGGAAGCACGGTCCTACTACAAACTGATAACATTACATCTCCAGCACACAAGTAGGCATACAAACAAAGGGAGATATTAGCCAGGTGTCATAGGACTAGTAGTTTGCGCCTGCGAATTCCTCAATATCGATTGATGTATGCGCTAATTATATTGATTGTATAAATTGTACATCTATGTATTGTAAAGCGCTTTAGAGTGACTTATTCTAGCTAGATAAGAAGCGATATCAAATTTTGTATATTGTTATTATTACCATTATTATTTACCTTCCTATGCAGTACTGATTGAGCTGAACGAATAATCCGTTCACCCTAGTCGGTTAGAAGCAACTGTCTGGATTGCAACTGTTGCATGCTCCTCGCCATGGTATAGCCTCGTCGACGAGTATCCCCAAAGTACAGTAATACGTGTAAAGAGAACGACTAAAAGTGTCGTACATACCATGCCCCTATGTTGGGCTAAAGGAAACTTGTTACGTATTATAATTGCCTCTTCTTCTGAATTGGGTCCAGGGCTCCAGCTGATTACGTAAGGACATTACCAACTGAGTTGAAAGGAATTTCTTTCTAGATAGATAAGCTACAAAATGGACCACCGCGGTGACTGTGAGTTAATTTTGATAAATCTGAGTTGTAATAACCACTAATATATCGTTATTGAATTAATAAAAAAAAAATATTCAACATGTAAACCCCAACGATAAATATCTCTTTAGAGAACATTTCTTCTTATTTATGACACAAAAACTATTTTCAATTAAAAATAAGATCTTGCATTAACTGCTTAATATCTTACACAGATGTAGGATCAAAATGTATAGGTTGATGCACATAAATGACGGTATATTTTCTTTATGATAATTCTCAGTTTTATATTTTGTGAAGCTTTAAGCCTGCCGTTTTGCTGAAATATTACAGTAGCTGAAGAAGCATATTATGCTGGGCTGAATGGCCACTTCAGACCGACGTGAATGTCTCTTCGCTGAAAGTTCTTTTTCCATACCGTATACATATACGACTCAAATTTACTCTCTTTAATCCGAACATTCATTCAGGTTAATCCGGAAGTAAATAATTAACTTTTTATGTAAAATTACATATGTATTATGTTAATCCGGAAATCCAAATTCGTGAAACGAGTTGTTCACTTTATTTTCACTGCAAAATAGTATTTACAGTGAACTTGGAACAATTTTTCGTTAATCCAGATTTCGAATTTTTAAGATTGTTTCGTTAATCCGGACATCATTTTTTCATAGATCCGTACACAGGTATGTACTTTGGCTGGTAGTTTTGGTTAATACATAGCTATGGTTTGACACATATTTTGCTTGAAACTAAAAAGTTCTGAATTAAAATGTAGACGGCTGTGTCAAAAGTGTTGTTTTTTTATTACGAAACTATCCGTTGTCATGTCGATATGCCCGAGGGAGAAACTATGTATAGAATATATCGGTCTAATTATCAGATTGTTACACAGCCGTTTTCATAATGATTGATTAGAATAATAATGGTATTTATCGGCTATTTTTGCCGTTCTGTTTCGTAATGTAACCACTATAATAGTGATGGTTGTTATTTTCTTGTTTTGGGTCCGTATTACGGTATATTACGGGAATAATGATATTATCTCTCGAAAACTACAGCACGGAAACCATTATAAATTGTGTGTAGTTTTTTTTTTATTACACAACCACAAACATTGCCGCCAGAGGATTCTAAACCTCAAACCTTTCGATCGATAAAGCAGCGCCGTAACCCATTGTCTTTCGTAGGTTAAAACTATAAGCTGGCGACGAAAAATTGTGAACTAACCCGTCACTCTGGAATATAAAACAAAAGACCAGAATGTGAGTGTATTTGTACTTACCAAGACCAGGATACTGATGTAGACGTAGGACATCACTGCCAGTGGAAACACCAGACCTATTAGGAGAAGGCACAAACTATAGGATAAGTCGATAGGGCTCCGTGCAGTCCAGTCTATCGAACAGGATATATTGGCCCCCTCAATTGTGTATCGGTTCCATCCCAATAAGGGATAGGCCGCTAGTAGGAATCCATACATAAAACATCCAAACAGAAGAAGAAGCGTGGCTGATTGTGTGACAAGATGTGACCAGTGATATTTTACAATCGAAATGTATTTTTCAAATGAGAGAACGGTTAAAATGGCAATTTGTGTTAAACCAAGCGCTGTTACGATGAATCCGTGGAACACACATCCAAAACGACCGAACAGCCATTTTCCAGAAATCGCCGATGCCCCAACAAATGGAATAGCCAAAGCTGCTATGAGGAAACTTGAAATACACAGAGATATCAGTAGTATGTTAGGTCTTGTTTTCAATTTGCTGTGAACTAAAAACACATACACGAATATTCCATTGAAAAGAATACCAGCTAGAGAGACAGAAAACATGAAGAAAGCTAAAACTGCATATTCTGCCTCAGTGATAGAGGCGGATGATTTGTTTAAGAAATCCTCTTCCACATTCTCCACGCTCGTCACGTTTTTAAATAACACTATTACGGAGTTGTTACTTTCACGAGGTGATTGGGTATTCATGTTTGTAAAATTCTACCTCCAAGCTTTCCTTGGTAGCCTCCCTTCCTTCCTACTCCTTAAATGCCTGCTGCCAAAATAGCATAAGTTGTTTTCTAGTTTACATGTGTCATCCTACTTATCAGAAAATAATATCTACGAGGTAAATGTTGACAGACAACGTTATTCATGTTTAGTTTCACGTTCACACGTAGATCTATAGAAGCCAACCATTCACCTTTAAGCCTGACTCACACTAACATAAAAAAACCCGGATAATATGTATCATTATCAGTTTCTCTTAAGCGATGTGCATGTAAACAAGGCTCTTAATTTGTTAAAAGGTAACTACCGGCATCATTCATATTGAAAAATTTTAAAACAAATAACGGTGGCATCATGGTATTATGGAAACAAATACTAACTGTATTAAACATGCTTTACCGTAGCGTTTTAGTATCCCACTCCAATTATTCAGTTTCGGCAAAGTTCTAAATGCTTTTGGAGTTCTTTGAAATTCTTTTAATCGGATTTAGAGAAGAGTAATAACAATTATACTAATGAAATCTCGTAAGCGCTATTCATCTTACAGATGTTCTCGACCTGCAATTCCTTAAGTAGATGATGTTAATTAACACCTCCAAACAAAGTTTATAACATGAAACAGTTCTTTTATATGTTTAGCAACACAAATCTGAAGATCCATCACTGTTTTCAATTATCCGGATATAACACATATAATGTATGAGATGTTTTAACCGTAAATAAAAATAAAAATAAATTCATAAACAAATACCGCTATTAATCCAACCATTGTTTGGCCGATACCACGATGTATAATTGTATCAAATCACGTAAAAATCAAACAAAGGTGTCAAAAACACCTGTTATATCGAGGGGTGATCTCATTCTGTTCCGAGCGTAACAGTTTTTTCATTGACATACTAAACTCCGGGGTTTTAAGATCAGCTGGTAGCTACACGTCTGATCGGAGAATCACATTTCCTACTCTACCTGTCGTAGCGTACGGAATCAACACAGACGCTGTATCCCAGACACAACTATACTACACAGCCAGAATGATCTGTGGCGAGGAAGCCACAGCCAGGCTTACGCGAGCAAAACGTATTTATAGCTTAAGTGGGTTGAATCAATAATGCTGGGGCGGAGTAATACTCAATGATACCACCAACCAACAAATTAGGAGTGTGCATGGGTGTTCACGGTCTACAAATGAATGACCGATCTGGTCAATTACGGTAAATTTGACAACACATATGCTGATGTACGTAACAGATTGAATTAAAGTATCGATTTTCATGTTGAATTGGAGTAATACATGTAGTTAAGGGTATATCATACATACTAGGTGAAGTAATATTAGGGATATTTATTGATATTTTACACTAACTGTAGAATATAACATACAAAGGGTAATACACATATTGTATGTGTAATAAGGTTATTGACAAATACCTTAAAATCAGCTAAACACAAAATTGAAATAAGAAGTACGATATAGATGTACGTAATCCAGTTAATTACAAGAAATGTGTTCTATGGGTAATTATGTAATTGACATATAAGATAAGATATGGTTCATCATAAAACTGGCATATTATGTAACATATGGCTAATCATGTAATTGATATATCATATACTATATGATTAACCGTCACTTGACATATAACATAAGATATGGTTATTCTTGTAATTGATCACATATTAGGTAAGATATGGTAAATCATGTCATCGACATATTAGGTAAGATATGGTTAATCATGCAATTGACATATCAGGTAAGATATTGTTAATCATGTAATTGACATATGAGGTAAGATATGGTTATTCTTGTAATTGACATATAAGGTAATATATGGCTAATCATGTAATTGATATATCATATACGATATGGTTAACCGTGCACTTGACATATACCATACGATATGGTCAGCCATGTAAATGACATATAAGATAAGATATGGTCAGCCATGTAAATGACATATAAGATAAGATATGGTCAGCAATGTAAATGACATATTTGGTAAGATATGGTTCATCATAAAACTGACATATAAGGCAATATATGGCTAATCATGTAATTGATATATCAAATACGATATGGTTAACCGTGCACTTGGCATATTCCATAAGATATGGTCAGCCATGTAAATGAATTATTAGGTAGGATATGGTCCACCATATGTAAATGACATATACGTTTAGATAATGTTAATCATGTAATTGACATATTAGGTAAGATATTGTTAATCATGTAATTGACATATGAGGTAAGATATGGTTCATCATAAAACTGGCATATTATGTAACATATGGCTAATCATGTAATTGATATATCATATACGATATGATTAACCGTCACTTGACATATAACATAAGATATGGTTATTCTTGTAATTGACATATTAGGTAATATATGGTAAATCATGTAATTGACATATTAGGTAAAATATTGTTAATCATGTAATTGACATATGAGGTAAGATATGGTTATTCTTGTAATTGACATATAAGCTTACATATGGCTAATCATGTAATTGATATATCATATACGATATGGTTAACCGTGCACTTGACATATACCATAAGTTATGGTCAGCCATGTAAATGACATATTGGGTAAGCTATGGTTCATCATAAAACTGGATTATTATGTAACGCTAGCTAATCATGTAATTGATATATCATATACGATATGATTAAACGTCACTTGACATATACCATAAGATGTAAGATATGGTTAATCATGTTACTGACATATTAGGTAAGATATGGTTAATCATGTAATTGACATATTAGGTAAGATATGGTTAATCATGTAATTTACATATTAGGTAAGATATGGTTTTTCATGTAATTTACATATGAGGTAAGATATGGTTAATCATGTAATTGACATATTAGGTTATATGTTGTTTATCGTGTAATTGACATATGAGGTAAGATATGGTTAATCATGTAATTGACATATTAGGTAAGATATGGTTAATCATGTAATTGGCAAATTATTCTGATTAGGTTAATCGTATAAATGACAATGGAGGGAATACACATTTATTCCTATTTTAACATGATTCTTAAAATGTATTAAATGATGTAATAAACATAATAGATAAACTCTATATTACTGTAATTAAGACGGGAGGGAAAAGATAGTTTATGATGTATAAAGTAGATTTATCAGGTAAATTATATATTATACAACAAAAATCATTGAGAGGATACAGAAGTATAACACAACCGTAATGCTAACTCTATGTCGATAAATAAACTAGTAAGGTAAACTATGAACAAATGAAAGATTTACATGGAGACCATTGAAAACGTACAAGGAGAAGAAGTCCATGTGTCTTCTGCTACCTTGACGACACCCACGATATAAATGTAAGTCAAATCTGAATAATGTCGAGGCCTCATAGAGGAATTCGGAGCAGCGACTACAGACAGTAAAGCACACTAATGATCATAACCAGAAACGTATTCCATGTCACTCAAAGTAAAAGCATATTCCCAATGAGATCATGACGGGGACCATAGCACCTGTACATACATGTATCTTATATCAATCTGCATCTTTGAAAATCCTGTGTTGTAAGTTTGTCCGTCAGCAGTCGACCTCCGTCAGTGACATCATGCTATTAGGAGTAAGAATAAAACGTTAGATTCAAATGATATCTTGGCACAGCAAGAAGTCAATATATATGATGGCAGCATCAGTGTTCCGATGGGCCGTGTCAAAATATCATTTCACATTTTTTGCAGAGTTGGGTCTTGTGAAACCATTTAACTCATTCACCCCATTTGAACTCTTCCAATTCAAAAGTTGAAATAGTTCTTTTTGAATCTTCAGGGATGAAGGAGTTAAACTCTCCTTTAATGTCTAATTATATATGCTTACCAGCAAATTTACGATAGGGTTTCATCTTCAACAGGTAAAACTTATCAATTTAAGCAAGAAAGGTCCGGTCTTTTAATCAATTTGATTTTACGGAATACCAGTTTGAAAATCATAGCTGCCCATGTGGAACACTTGGTTTTCCTTTCAATATCCTTCCTGGCAATATATAGAAGCTTATATACTGTAAAGAGAATACATATTCTTCGTCCGTGTAAGGCATACCTTTATCCTATATGAATAAAGGTTGTTCTGTTCAGTGACAGATTGAGCTGTATAGTGAGTTTCATTTAAACATCAGTAAATTTAACATTTTAAAACCAAATCATTGGAAATGATCTGGCAAGGAATATATCTGATGGGGAACAGTTATACAGAAATCAGATATACAATAGAGATCTTTTCGCGAGATGGGATGTTGGTCTCGACTGCATAAATGATAAAAAATAGTTTAAGAACGTTTTACACAATGTATAGCACTATCTTTTCATAGTCCTAACGGTGCTGAGTAGCAACACGTTACCTAAACCTTAATTACTTTGCAGTTTTAGATAGGAAACACATATATCCATGAACCTTGCACCTAAAACTAGTTCATGTATGTCTCGTTTCCTATACGTTCTCGTTACCTATTTCACACTGTATCACGCTGTGCTAGATGCGAGTTACCTGCAGCCTTGTCAGCAGAATGTATGCCATAATTTTATCACATGGTGTAATAACTTCTGCTCTTACTTGTTGTGTTTCACGAGTACTCTTCTGTCGCTTTATGTTCCAAGTAAAATATACGGCAGGTTTTCAGACAATGTTATACTTAAATACAAAAAAGTGCAAACCTGTTTTGCCTTACAGCTAACAGTAAGAAAGTACATCGCAATTACATTGAAACTCTTTAAACACGACGTGACAACAAGAAGACAGAGGCATATGTACATGTAAAAGAGAAAAGAAATTTTACAAATCTCCCCATTCAGTAAAGAATAAAGCTATGCTATATATGTCAGCAGTTTTTCCATATGAATTTCATGAGTTCGCCTGTCAGGAGATCATGAATACAATCATTTATTAAATGTTGAACAAGTGAGTCTGTGTATATTTCACAAGGCCT